AAGTGTCACAACTTGGTTGCTAGGTTACTGTTTACTGTATGAACAATTAGCTTGCCAGCTTTCTCTCAGCCTGATTAATGTAAACAAACCACACTTGTTATAAGAAAAGGTATTATTTTATTCCGGCAACAAATACAATAATACATGAATTATGAATCATAGCTGCCCCTCCATTACCTGCTCATATAAAAATCAGTAAAATGTTATTCTTCACAAGCAACTGGTATTGTGACTATTATAGTGAGCTATTACTGATATCTGAAATTTATATATAAAATACCATACAATATACACAGACACTAGCAATTTATACATAAGATATTCTATATACATCCAAATTTACAAATGAGTATGTTAAACTGGTTTGTACTTTAAAAGTTTGACATGTACTCCTAAATGTTGTACGTTTTATTAAAATGATGCATATTTAACAAAGATGTTATGTACAAAATAACACTATGGTTTCAATATATGTGGAAGACTTAATTTGAAAGTAGTGCGAAAGTTATTTTTACAAAATAACACTAGAATCAATGTAGAATCAGAAACCTAGGAAAATGTAAAACCACCTCTGGTAATCCTTCAGACAAACATTGCTATGGTATATTCACCGATATCTAAGCTTTTAGACAATGTTTTGGTTGTAAACTCATGTAATTTCTTGCAAAATATACATACATGCACGTACATTACATTTTTGAAAAGTGTTAAAGAACAATGGTTGTCACGCAGCATGTTTTTAAATTCCAATGTAAAAAAATGTTTTACATGCATTGTGTACGCCACTATGAGTCCAATATCAAACAAGACATGGCATGATGACCACCACCCTTTATACCTGTTGATTTTAAAAATGTAATGTGGCTTGGTTATTTTGAAGCCATTTAGTTACCCCTGGTAACTGGAAGATCAAAAGTAGTATGTGAATATTCTCATTTGAATCAAATAGACCATTTTCCGTTCACTGCGAGAATCACGCATTATGCATGAAATCGAACGTAAAAACAGGACAAACAAAGGTCATAGCGTTGTAGTGGCGTCAAACATCGCGTGGGATTCGACAAACGCGAAAGTATTTTGGGGGACATTTCCATGCTTAATAATGTGCTGTCAACATTTGATGATAGGCAATTTCGATTAAGTGAGGGTATTCGGAAGCAATATTCCTCTGTCGAAGATCGGCCGGTCAATGTGAGCTACGAAATAAAGAAATTCAAGTTGAAAATCAAATCGTTCGATTTTTACAGCAGACGTTCGACGCGCGTCTTTCATGCATCTCGCGAGATCTCGCAATTGTACGGAAAATCACCTATTCATTGCAAATAACATTTAATCACACTTTTTTGATGGTGTGCACGCTGACCAGAAACATAACTTTTTTTTGGCCTTTAACTAATGTGTTCACTTTGCCTGAATATGTATAATAATGCTGTAAACTACATAAAACTAAACTGTTTACAGTACATCAATGCAGGTTTAATCTGCTGGTGTTAATTTCTTAACATATGGCAGGAATATTTTTTTGCACGCTTCTTTATGTCTCTGTAGTACACTGTCTGATCTGGTATGCAGAAGGAAATGTGAATAATCTCTTCTTTGTTCAGTACCATTTATATTTAACGTTGGATCTTCATAAACTGGTACACGAGTACAAGAAGTGCCTTTATTTGGGTGGACTTTAATGACGCTGGGTTTGTGCTTAGATTTACCAATTATGTCAATAGCTTCCCCTGCTTGTGGTTTCAGTGTGTAGTCATGCCAGTCATGGGCCTTCATCATATGGTAGCGATACTCAGAATGAACATCACTCAAACTACAAGAGATGTTAAAAGAAGAATATTAAAACAGCTAGAGATAGAGGTTACTGGTGTCAATTATCATTTCCAAGTGAACTGTTAGATAATAAAGTACTGTAAAAAAAACACTTATTTTCACCATTTTCATGTTTTGAGCAATTTCCCTGGTTTTTAAATTCACGAACTTGGCAGGGAAACAATTAGTGCTATTGTTATTCTACAAGTTCATGTGAATTTAATTTAGCAAACTTTACTTATAAGTGGAAACAGTGAAATCAATAACGAGTTAATGAATAATGTGTTTACAGTTGTTGATCAAATACATGTAGCAACTAAGTACAATGGAAGTTTTCACATTCATAGAGAAGTCAAGTAATTTTGAAGGAATACCCATGATTCAGTGCAACAGAGCAAAAGCTTGGTTTCAATGCATTTTGCATCACATTGCATCCAATGTGAATTTATTTGGTTTAGACCACAAGTAAGCTTTTATCAAACTAATAAAATTAAAATGGCCGCTGGTTGAGCATTTGAGATAGTTTAGCCATGACGATATGTTTTTATCCCAAGTTCAGAAAGTCAGGCAAATGAATTTTACTCATCCCAGTTTTCAGACAGAAACAAACTAAAATTTCTTATATATTTTTGTGTTTTTTCTTTCAATTTTAAAATGTAAAGTTTTATTAATGTGACTATCAACATTTCTTACTTTTTAGCCATTTTCATCTTCCTTTGGTTCTCTTCTGTGTCACTTCTAACTGTTAACCATGGAGTTGACATATGAATCTATGAAATGAATTAAGATTAACAAAGAAAGATTAATCTGTCATCCTGGACCAGGAAGTATATACCTCAGTCTGTACTTGCAGACTGAATTATTCCCTATTCTATCTTCTATTTTATTGTGATATAATATTATAGTGTGTGCCACCCATTATTGAAATGATGCATTCTCATTGGTCGTTTGACACCACATGATACCCTGTTATCAGTCGATAACTAGGCAGTTATTTGAAGTCAGTACATGGATATACTAACAAGAATGTGTGTGATTTGGCTTCAGTTAGTTTGTATCGTTTAAACTACAAATCTACCATGATTTTTTCATGTTAATAAATCCTTGTTTTTGCATGTAATTTGTTGGTGGACATTTTATACGTAACTGAAGTACAAGCATCCACGACAAATTTACCACACTGTCAATTTCTTTATTCTCAAACTGCAATATAGACATCTTGGAGGTATTTATAATGGAAATAAAAGACACTGTACTGTCCATAATAGTTTGTTATAAACTGCCACTATCAGAATTAGAGGTTTTGATATCATAGCTTCTATTCTATTCTATTCTATTCTATTCTATTCTAGTCTAGTCTAGTCTAGTCTAGTCTAGTCTAGTCTAGTCTAGTCTAGTCTAGTCTAGTCTAGTCTAGTCTAGTCTAGTCTAGTCTAGTCTAGTCTAGTCTATTCTATTCTAGTCTAGTCTAGTCTAGTCTAGTCTAGTCTCGTCTCGTCTCGTCTCGTCTCGTCTCGTCTCGTCTCGTCTAGTCTAGTCTAGTCTTACCATATTCCTTGAAACCATCACTGGATTTAGTGATGGTAGTTTCAGTTGTGTGGTTGTAACATCACGTTCTTGTCTTTGCTTTGTCATACCAAGATAATTTACATCAATTTTGTTCAGCATTGCTTGTCCTTTCTCACCCAATACGGCAGCCAGAAGAAAAAGACTAGCATTCAACAATTTTCTGTCAAAAAAATACAATTTCAAGTTTCACTTAGACAAAAAAAAAGAACCTTTACAACTTAGAATTTTATATGGAAGCATTTAGTGTTATTCAGTAATATGACAGAGTTCACAAACACATGCAAGTACAATACACCATGACACGTTCACCAATTTAAAATTAGACCATTTTTACTCTTATTTCAAATGTCTTACCTGTTGGCTAGTGTATTACGAAACAACAATAATAAACCAACTTGCTGAAATCCAATGGACAGTAAGAAGTCTCTACTCATGTGATATCCCCACAATGCCTGTACACCAATATCGGAAATCTTCAACTGTATTGCACATGAATGTTTAGTCACACTCACCTACAAATAAACAAAGTAAAGATAATCTGGTTGTCAAGATTTCCAGCTTACGATCAAAGTTTACTCTTAAAAAGTTATAACCTGAATTTATTCATTTTGCAATAAACTGTACACCAAGGCAATATAAGGATATTGACTTAAAAAAAGTTAGGAGTCACCAACCTAATTTTCAAGAAAATTAAATTTGTATTTTAGTGGATAATTTTGTGTGTATAACTTTTACCAATGTTTCCTATGGCAGAGATATTTAGCCATGACAGTCTAGTGACACAGACTGAAACAATCATATTGTGAATGATGGGGTACTGTTTGTTTTCCTATGGCAGAGATATTTAGCCATGACAGTCTAGTGACACAGACTGAAACAATCATATTGTGAATGATGGGGTATTGTTTGTTTTCCTATGGCAGAGATATTTAGCCATGACAGTCTAGTGACACAGACTGAAACAATCATATTGTGAATGATGGGGTATTGTTTGTTTTCCTGAATTATTTCAAAAATCTAGGTTTCAAAAAGTGTCAAAAATGCAATTTTTCTTCAACATTGTGTTTGAATTGTTTTAAAAATAGCCAAATATGAAAAACCATGAACAGAAATATCAGCTTTACATAGTATCATCACTGTACCTATATGTTTGCTGAGAAAATACAGTTTCTAACATTTTTTTCAGAGCTTGTAGAGCGACAATCTAACGTGAATCTGTCTGATATTGTAGTCACCAACAAATAGTCAGGTTTATTTTGTGCAAAAGTTTTTGTAAAACAACTATATTTTCATGCATACAACCAGTTTTCGAAGTGGTTATCCTATTGCGCAATCATATTATTTTTTTTGGGGGGGGGGTCCTGCAATTACTTAATACTTACAATATCTAGTAATCCTGATAGTATATCTTCTGTTTGTAGCAATAGCTGTGACAATGCATGACAGCACTGTGAGTTGTCAAGTACATCTATAGAAATGAAAAATTTATGAATTACGAATACTGGCAATTACCGAAAATGTAACATTCTCATCATGAAGTAAGGATATCTGAATGCCGTATTTCTCTCTGAAAGATCAGTATTGAACTATAAAAAAAAAATTAAGTTCAAAATCAAATCACAAGTCGTCTGATTGATCAATGTCTTTTGCACAAGATCTCGCAGTGAGCGGAAAATCACCCATTGCATTCATTCATTCATGACCTAAAAGTATGAAATACAGTAACCCGATGAACCAGTGAAATTTAACTACATCAAATAAAATACTCATTAAACTAAATGATTTTTTAGTGTTTGATAAATAGATTTCAACAGAATTTGTTGCTGTTCAAGTTGGGTGTATGTACTAAATGTTTCACTCCCCAACTTTTTTGACAAGAAATAACTAAATAACATAGCATAAGGAAATAACATTATGGAGTTACTAGTTATTTAATTAACCAGACTGACAACCTTGTAAGGTTGGTGAATTAGTTGTAACCTTTTCACCACCAGTTCATCACAAATTCACAAAATAGTCCTTTTTATAGTCTGCCCTTTCCTTTAAAAAAATTGGGTTAAAAACATTTTTTTAAAGTAAAAAATTGACCTAAAATATGCTTTTTTTGAAAAAAGTTCAGAAAATTTTGACTAAGAAACTTTGGTGGTGAAAAGGTTAATTCTATGGTTGAACTGAATTAGTGGATTGTGGTTTAACCGTGTATTTGGTCTATCAAGGTTTCCTACATGAATGGATTAGTGAATAATCTTACCAGTCACTGCCATCAAAGCTTGATGAGCAGGCTGTAACAAACCATCATGATCCCAGTGTGGGTATACAACATACGGTTCAGTGTTATTAGCACCTTTGGCTTGGAAATGAAAACCAAGTAGATTTAATAGTGGTATAGATCCTGGAGCCATCATGACTACTTCTGGCAACTTTTTGGTTAGTAAGTCCATTTGTGGATTGGTGTGAAGCACCATGCTTTCAGACACCTGCAAGAATGAAAACAATTATGAAAAATATATGGAATATATTTAGTAAATAATTAACCTTTTTACCACTAGTTCCTTCTTTTCATCACAAATTCACAGATTTTGAGAGATTTGGACAAAAAAAGCTACATATTTTGAGTAAAAACTGAATATTGACTAAAATTTTGATTTTTGGTTCCAAAATTAGGGTTCATTTTAAGAAATATTGAAGAATTTAAGACAAAAGTTAAAAAAAAAAATTGGGGGAGAAAGTCTGGTGGTTAAAAGGTAGTAAAATTGATGAGAGCTGTTAAGACTGATAAATAAAAATAGTACCGTAGTAACAAATTGTAGTTCTTGCTAAATTATTCAATATAACTAGAAAAGGAATCTTTTTTCAATGATAGATGTGAATACAATAATCTTATAGTATTGGTTCATTAGAAAAGGATAATTGTCTGAAATGTCTGGTTATACAGGGCAGCATAACTTGCTGACTATAGCAATGCTTAAGTTACAGGGCTTGAACTTCAATGTTCAAGGAAAAAATTGATAAAATTGCTTTGGTGTATTGTAATAATATGGAAAAATACTGTTTCAAAAAGCACCAAGACAAACTCATTGGTCATTCAGGCAAGTGCTTTGGATGCATTTATGAAGTTCAATTTTTGTTGTTGTATGTCGTGTATGAGTGTAGAACTGTAGAGTGCTTTCTATTGTCATGCATGCATACGAAGGGTACATGTTGAGTGAAGGAATGCTTGCTATGTACATGTACATTGTTTTGTAGATTGCGAAATAAGAAAAGTAACACACTTGCAGTAAAAGAATCTTGTATGCATGAGTGCTGTATTTGTTATATCTGCTCAACTGTAGTTAACGCCATGCACAGTTATTCCTATGAAGCATGTGAAATTAAAAAGCGCTGCATCGAGATGAGGCAAAACTAGCTAACTTTTTTATTACACAGGGCGCTTCATATTCAGTGTACATGCAACATGCTACTGTAAAATGACTAATTTTTCCTGGGTTTAAATTTCACTGATTTACCATTTCAGGCATATTCAGTGGGTTATAAATTCACAGTTATATCATTTAAATAATGTGTTCTATGATAAATTTTACATATTCACTGGGTTTTAATTTAGCAGTCTGCGAAATAGGCAAAACTAAATCCCAGTGAATAATTAACCCTTTTACAGTATTCAATCACTGGTAACGTACATTTGCTATGCATACACTAAACCTGATTTGGTTGTATAAAATTTAACTCACCAGTTGTAAGAGAACGGACATAACCTGGGGTTGTTTGTAAATTAATAACTGAGAAAGATGTTGTCGTAATTTTGGCAATGTCACATCCTTGGATGATATGTCCACAGGTTGTTGTGTCAGATTTAGATGGTCTACAGGGGATACATCTAAAGTGTCTTTCTCCAGAATGTCAACAAGCTGATCCAACATTGCATGTTTGATTTGTCGAATACTGATGAAGATATCCTGACCAACCAATAAAAATGGAGCCCAGAACATTGCATCATTGAATCTGAAAATATGAAAGTAGAAATGATAGCATCTTTAGTTCCATGTATCTGCAATAACTTTGTGTGAAAATAACAGCCAAGTTTACAATGATTGCAGAACAAAACCCTCTCCTATGATGGTATTAACAGATTGCCTGCTGACTCAGGCTGACATACCCATTGATGTATGTCTGTAAAAATCATTGATATTTGAATGTTTATTGTAGCCTGCAGTTCAGCCAAATTCAGGTGATATGTCACACAATACCAAGATTCAAACTCCCTGTTGTGGGTGTCACACCCTGTAGTGGGAGTCCCACCCCGAGTAGGTGTCACACACTAGCTGTAAGGGGTTTCACTCCTTTAGTGGCTGGCACACCCTGTAGTGGGTGGCACTCCTTATAGTGGATGCCACTCCCTGTATAGTTAGTGGGTGTCACACTCTGTAGTGGGTGCTACTTCATATAGAGGGTGTAATATTCTGTGGTTGGTGACACTCGCTGTAGTGGGTTTCACACCCTAGCTGTAGTGGGTGTCACACCCTGTAGTGGCTGTCATTCCCTGTAGTGGCTGTCATTCCCTGTAGTGGGTGACGCTCCCTGCAGTGAGTGTCACTCCCTGCAGTGTGTGAACCACCCTGAGTGGCTGTCACACCCTGTAGTGGGTGTCATTCCCTGTAGTGGGTGACGCTCCCTGCAGTGAGTGTCACTCCCTGCAGTGTGTGAACCACCCTGAGTGGCTGTCACACCCTGTAGTGGGTGTCACACCCTGTAGTGGGTGTCATTCCCTATAGTGGGTGTCACACCCTGTAGTGGGTGTCACACCCTGTAGTCAGTGTCATTCCCTGTTGTGGGTAACACTCCCTGCAATGAGAGTCACTCCCTGCAGTGTGTGAACCACCCTGAGTGGCTGTCACACCCTAGCTGTAGTGGGTGTCACACCCTGTAGTGGGTGTCATTCCCTGTAGTGGATGACACTCCCTCCAATGAGTGTCACTCCCTGCAGTGTGTGAACCACCCTGAGTGGCTGTCACACCCTGTAGTGGGTGTCATTCCCTGTAGTGGGTAACACTCCCTGCAATGAGAGTCACTCCCTGCAGTGTGTGAACCACCCTGAGTGGCTGTCACACCCTGTAGTGGGTGTCACACCCTAGCTGTAGTGGGTGTCACACCCTAGCTGTAGTGGGTGTCACACCCTGTAGTGGGTGTCACACCCTGAAGTGAGTGTCATTCCCTGTAGTGGATGAAACATCCTGCAACACTTTAACAATTAAATGCAATTGAGCAAAACACATAATTGTGACACTTATTTGGTTTTACAAACTTGTCTGTAAATGCACAACTTGAAATTTGCAGCTCTGAAAAACTTGGTTGCAATCAACATTAATCACTCTATAAGTCTTCCTATGTACATCCACAGCATCAACAACAGTACCATATTAACCTACAGTGTACATGCCTTGATTAGAAACTGTAAATTGTTAGTATGGCTTACCTTTCATCTTTAGCCAGGCTTTGCTTTGCTTTACTCAAGGCATTGGAAACACGATTTCCATCTTGTAAAGACTTGTAAAAATAATACCAGAATT